GCGGGCTGGCTGAGCACATGCCATCGTGCGAGGACTACATGATGCCTCCCAGCTGGCCCTCCCTCGTGGTCTTCCTCGGGAGAGCTTTCGCGCTGCTGGTAGCGCGAAATTTCATCTTCCCTGGCGAGAAGAAGTGATGGGAGCACTGAGATGCACTGAGCACAAGCTGTTGTATAGAGTGGTAGGGGAGTTGTGGAGACTGGCGGCTCGATCTCAGTACGCCACTCTAATTTTAGCACAGGGCTACCAGCCACAGCCCGAGAGAAACAGTTCTGGGATTCGCTGTGCCGTTGAGCGCCATTTCTGTTGACGGGTTCTGTCACGTTTCCCAGCTGCATCCGCGATTTGAGCGTGTAGTGGCTCAGCGAAGTTGCCCCCAAGCTTTTCCGGCTGCTCGTCGTTGGAGGCACTGCTTTGGGGCGCGCGCATGAAGTCATGAAGCTTTATTTGCTGAGCTTATTGATTGAAGCGATTGCCCGTCCTTGTCCAGGCAATTATGGCGCGCAGCTCCAGTGCCCTCCCCGTCGTCCTGCTGGCCCTGGCGGCTCTCTTCGTCGCCCCCGCCTTCGTGCCATCCCCTGCCCCACGTGCAGCGCCCGAGGCCAGCGCTGCCGCCGTCACGGCAGGTGCCCTGCTGCCGGTGCTCACGGCCCAGCCTGCCATGGCCGAGGACTGATCAAGCGCATCCTAGGAAGAGCCGTGAGATGCGGGCGGGGTGGCTGAGCACATGCCATCGTGCGAGGACTACATGATGCCTCCCAGCTGGCCCTTCCTCGTGGTCTTCCTCGGGGGAGCTTTCGCGCTGCTGGTTGCGGGAAATTTCATCTTCCCTGGCGAAAAGAAGTGATGAGGGCACTAATCATGAGCTGTTTTGGGAGCGGTAGAGGAGCTTTGCTTAAAACAAGCTTAGTTTCAGCACAGCTCTGATTTTAGGAGGCTTACCAAACACTGCCCGAGGAAAAGAAGCTTATAATGTTCTATGACATTGTCGCTGTTCTTTGAATTCAGATGCAGTTGCTGATAGATTTGCTGGCTAGTTGTGCATATCGTTTTTCGAGAGGCTCAGTGAAGTTGCCCTCAAGCTGTTCCAGCTACCTGTTGGAGGCAGTGTTTTGGGACAGCCACGAAGTTGTATGCACTTGATTTACTGCTGAGAGTGACTGGCGGTCTTTGTCCAGGCAATTATGGCGCGCAGCTCCAGTGCCCTCCCCGTCGTCCTGCTGGCCCTGGCGGCTCTCTTCGTCGCCCCCGCCTTCGTGCCATCCCCTGCCCCACGCGCGGCGCCCGAGGCCAGCGCTGCCGCCGTCACGGCAGGTGCCCTGCTGCCGGTGCTCACGGCCCAGCCTGCCATGGCCGAGGACTGATCAAGCGCATCCTAGGAAGAGCCGTGAGATGCGGGCGGGGTGGCTGAGCACATGCCATCGTGCGAGGACTACATGATGCCTCCCAGCTGGCCCTTCCTCGTGGTCTTCCTCGGGGGAGCTTTCGCGCTGCTGGTTGCGGGAAATTTCATCTTCCCTGGCGAAAAGAAGTGATGGGAGTCTGAATCAAGTTCGGAATCCGACGGCAGAATGGCCTGAACCGTGCCACTGCAATTTTACCAAGGAGCATCTAGGAACATTTGATTGAGCTTCTCTAGAAATATCAGACGGCAGAGAGTTGGCGCAAACCTCGCCGTGCTTCTGCAATCGGAAACATTGCGCCTCGTAAGCCGGCTGTGGCTTGTTGCGTTGATGGGTGTCGCCTCCATGCCATGACTCACAAGATGCATTAGAATGACATGTATGCAAGCATTCTCTCAAGATGAGGAATGCGGTCACTCTAGTCTAAGTAGTCTGTGTCATGTCATCGTCACGTCGTTTCTGGACCGAAGCCGCGGAGGCCTGGCAAGCTGAGTGTAGAGACGCTGAAAGCCGGGGTTGCCCCGGGGGTTCCCGGACTCCGATGTTGCTGGCTTAGTGGCTTAGTGCAGCGGACGTGGCGTCAACACGTGACACACTGAACTCACTCGGCCTTCAGCCTTTCACACCTCGCCGAGGGATCTCAGCAGCCTCTCGCGCAACACGTGCTGCTCTCGGTGGCCACAGCAACATTTTTGAAGATTCTCACTCTCGTCCTGGTGAAGACATAGGTTGGACCCAGACGATCCTACAATCCGCGGACGCAACTGGGAGTCCGTCGAGAAGGCTTTTCCGAATGTTTGCACCGAGAGGGCTGAACTTGTAGGGCCTCTTACGGGGCTTGCGCGAGTCAGAGAGTCCAGATGAGTCCAGCCTGGACGAGTAATGCTTCAACTTCTACAGAGCAACTTGAGAAGAACCCGATGAGCAGGTGCTGAACCAGCGAGAGGCGTACCTTGCGTCTCTTAATGGCGACGACCTAAGACTTCGGGTGCTTCTCAGAGCTCCAATGTGGGACTGAGCAGCTTCAGAGCTCATCGGTGACATCCGATAACGATAACCATACTTATTATTCCTTGTTGCAATATGAATATGCGTCCGCCTATGTACATATACGCATTGCAAACTCTTGTGGCTCTCCGGCTCCCCATCCCTACCGCGCCTGTCATGATTCTTCTATGTGCGCCAATGAAGGCGAGGAGGATGACTGGCGTCATTGTGTCTTGTTCTACTGGTACGGCATTGCATATCTAGCTGCTCTCAGCAGCAACTCGTGGTGATCGTAGCCTGTGCCGCAGCATTGGCTCGCTTCTGCAGCTGCCAGACCTTCCGACCTTGTGCCCTGGTATACGAGGGGGTTCCTTCAAGGGTTCCTGTTGGGGACTCTATAAAGAGTCCCTTCGTCTTAGGATTTCGGGGCTTAAGGGTTTAGGGTTGAGGGTTCCTCTTTCCTCGAGCATGCTTCAGACTTTAGACATTGCCTTACGGGGTCTTGGGAGTCGCCAGAATTTTGCAGGCCCCTGCTGGGGGCCCTGAATGTCGACGAAAGCCCTTCGAGCTTCGACTTGGATTTCACTAAGTTCTTTCTGCATCTGCGCTGTCACTCGTAACTCTGGGCGCATAGCGCTGCAGACTAGCTCTCCAGGCTTCGGATTTTCAGCAGCCGCAAGGTGTCTTCATTTAAACTTGCTGCAGCATCCACTATGTTGAAAGTGTTTCGACTGCTCTTATTCTCTGTCGCCGGTAGCAGATTTCCGTTCAAGATCCTGAGTCTTCCACACCAAGAGAACTGGCTCAAAGCTGACCTAGGCCATGGAGGCTTCCTCCGGGCTGGGCGAAGGGGAGCGATGCACCCTTTTGGAGCTTCAGCAAACCGGAAGATCCCAGGACCGGCTCTCAAGCTTTGAAGGGGCCTGTGCGGGGAATCGCGCAGTTCCCCGGATGAATGGTTGAGACACTCTTGCTTCTGCGTGCGGGCATCCTGATCTGAACCTGAAGTAAGTTCCCCCGAAGGGCTGCAATGACAAATCGAAACAGAGTTTCAGAGCACGTACGTCCTAACTCAACCCAAGTTCTTTCACGCGGTCCAGGAGGCACCCATTCGGAGTCACCGTCGACTGGTGGTCGCTCTGGTTCTAGGAGTTCTCGGAAGCGGACTCGCCTTGTTGCTGTGGAGGCCACCGGCTTGTGGGCTCAGGATTTGGAGGTCCATTTGGCTTTGAGCGTTATTTGAATCCCCTCGTGTCTGCCACGGCGTTTACGCCTTGATGCTATTGCTATCCGACCTACGTAGGTGCGCAGACAGCTGGCAGTGCCAAGTCCCCGAGCCTCTTCTGGATGTTTGTGGTGGGCTCTACCTGTTTGCAAGGCATTGAAGGGTTGAGTTCAGCTCCCTTGCGCTCCAGACCCTTTTTTTTTGATGCGGTATTGATCTTTGAGACACGGCAGGCCGCCTGGTGCCGGCAGAGAAGCAAAGGAGCAGTCTCGGGAGTTTTGGGAGATGGGATTTTAGCCTCCTGCCTGTGGACCTCCGGCGGTCCGGGAGCAGGAACGGCTTAAGCTTCTTGTAGTATCATTGGCTCTACTCCTCAGGCCAGCGGAAAGAGCAGCAACTTGCGTTGATCGTAGTAGTGCCACGGCTCACAACAATATCAATACCAGCAGCCGCATTAATCAACGACGGAAGTGTATTATTTGGTAGTAGACCAGTCTAGACAATCAACAATGGCAGCAGCAGTAGTATTGATCAAATACAACAACAGGTGCCGTATGAACAGGTAGAAGCTGTCAAGACATGCATCCGGCCACTAGTAACGGCACCAAGAGTACGCATGAGGAACAAGTGGCTGTAATCACCACGAGGAGTACCTGGCTGTAACCGCCATCACAGACGTAGCAGGTTCGACAGTCTGAGCAGTGCTGGTAGTTCAGCCGATACTTGATTCAAGATACGTCTTGCGCGAAGAAGGTTGACAGCGGCGGCCTAAATTCTTTCTTTTGATTTCCGGAAAGGGCCTACACGGAAGATCAGGACTTCACACAGCTGGCGGCCACCGATACGGTGTGGTATAGTTCCTTGGACGCAGGATCGAGGTCCTATAATTGAGCAGAAAGGAAATATTCCAACCGATAATGAGGTCTATGATCAGGCACAGTCTTCGTTCTTCCTGTAAGGCGCATGTGAAGTCCTGCCATCCGGAATTGAATGGGAAGCAATACATAGGCTCCAACGGGGACTCCAAAGACGTCTTTTTCAACATCGAGCACGACCGGGTTCCGGTGCCCGTGATCGACGAGATTTGGCCCAACCTGCAGGCCTGATGTGCGCATCAATCATGCAAATAGCGGCCCTTACCGTAGGCCCTGTAGGCTCAAGACTCTAGACCCGAGATCCTGAGCCCCGGGGCTGAACTTTGTGGTGAGTCAGGTGAGTATTGTCGATCTTGTCAGGTCTCCTTCAGAGAAGCCCTGGATGGCGGTGTCGTCACGGCCCAGTCGCTTTCTGACTACACAGCGCAACTGCTGACGTCCCCTTCGCCCTTCGATTTGGGGAACGGGGCTCCAAAGTAACTTGGCCCTCAAGCTCGCTTCTAACCGCTTCCTTAAAGCCAGGTTTCGTTGAGCGTGTCATCAGCGGTCCTCTCTTCTTACCGTTTTCTCTTTCTGAAACCGGCTGCAGCGTCTGGGGGCGGGGTGGTGTTGTTTCAGGATTTGCGCGAAGTACCAAGGCCACTCCGAGAACAAAACAAGACACTTGCACAAGTTCATAGGGGACAACTTCCATCTCCGCATGCGCCTTGTGGCGGGGTCCACTCGAGTGCCAAGTCTGGTGCTCCCTTGGGTGTGTCGATGTTTAAGTGGGGCTGGTGGCTTTGCTATGGCTTTCAGCCAGGACATTTTTCAACACGATGCTGCCGCGTGTCTTTACCCCGAACCCAGTTGTTACAGGGTTGCTGCAGGCCCAATAATGTTGGATGTGAGGGCCGGGGATGCTTATGTTTATTGCCAATGTTGAGTACAGGATCAGTAGAATTATTGAATTGCGTTCATCATTGCCATGATCTGAGATTTGCGACCATTACGACAGTTATACTTATCCCGATGCTCAGATCATATCATCATGGCATTTGTCTTTGTTGCTGATATGTTCGAAGCAGAAACGGCTTGGGTTTTTCACACAACAAGGAGGGCCGTACCTAAAGCACGGAACCGTGAATCTGTGTCCTTCACAGCTGTTTTGAAGTTTTCGCGATCCCGTTTTCAAAGGGTTTATGGCTCAACTTTCTGTGGTTCCTAATCGGTGGGGCAGCTCCCGGTGGCCAGCTTAGTGGGTCAGGAGGGGAGGGGAGTATGGGGAGCAAGAGGTGGGGGAAACAGGGAATCCCTGCGGGAAACTCTGACCGCTTCGGCCGGGGCCGCGGCGAATCACGATGGCGATCAGGATGGTGACGTTGATGATATCGATGATGATGGTGATGATGATGACCGCCACGATTTATGTTAGCAGCGGATTCCTCGTGGCCATGACGATGATTGCAAGAATGGGCGCAAGCCTGCATTGATCCAGTCTGTCTTACCTGAATCTTCTTGTCAGGCAGGGTTACGTTCAAGTTCCAGCAGGCGCGTCTTGCAACTGTCGTCGCATTGCATCGTCTTCAGTTCTTTGTAGCGGTGCCGTGTCTGGTATGTTGGTAGGTTCGGAACTAGGACTCTACCAGCCGCCCTGCCACTTAACCCTGGTCGAAGAGGTTGATTTGATGCTACCCCCTCCGTGTTTGGCTATCTTGTTGCTTTTGACTCGGGATCTTCTGTCAAGCACGCAAGCAAGCAATCAACTTGACCAGTGCAAGGGGCGCCGGGCGCTTCCCACAGCGACATGTTGGACTGGCACCAGTACGCGGTCTACAGCCGGAGACAGGCAGCAGCATGAGGACAGCAGAAAAGTGATGAAAGCGATCATATGTATTTTGATGGCGTGCCTCAAAAATAACTCACAGGAGAACGCCACATTGAATGTGACCGTATGACCGTTAGATAGCGGTGGTGTTATCTAGTATAAGCCGTCGTCGTCCCCGTGCTGTATGTATTGATTTACCTCAGTCTGCATCGGGATATCAAAGCCACAACCACAAGCAGCTTCAACATCTTAGGGAGCGTCAACAAGCACAATGGGAGTTTCCTTATGCTTCGGAGCATTGAATCTGCACAGCTGCACATTCCTGGCGGATGCGTCAGGGATTCGAAGTTTGGTGCTTTGAAGGGCCTGGGAGTCGCGCTTGAAAGTTCAGGATGGACCGACAGGCTTGGCATGGCTTGGCAAGAACACTGGTCGGTTGGAGAAGGGCATCTAGTTTACCATGCAAGACGTTCATGCGAGATGCTTGTTTCCCACTGTGGAGGTCTGCTATATTGCTGCGCTCGTGGCTGCTGGCAACCAGGCATGCTGCTCGAGAGATTAGTGGCGTTTGTGCTTGCGCTAATCCTCGTCGGTAGGTTTCGTCATGACAGCTGGTGATTGGTGCTCATGGTGGTGGTCCCCGATGTTGCCAATCCCTCTGCTGCTATTGTGCAGCAGTCATCACAGCTTGCCGTTGCTTTAAAGCTGCAGTCTACTAGGCGTCCAACTACGACAGCGGCCTGAGTCGACTGATCCCTCCGACAAAGTGTGGCCCGGCAGGATGCAGATCTGTTGCAATTGTCGATGCAAGCAGTAAGCTAGGACAGCATCTGCACATCCCAAGTACTCACATCACCGCAGCCTTAGCCTGAGAACGGTATTCTGTGAGTTGCAGTCCAGGCGACAGCGATCTCTACCAGGCTGGTCGACGTGGTATATGCACAACACCATCATCACGTTTGTCAACACGGCGAGCGTCGTAATTGTAAACGCTTTGCGCCGAAAGACGCGGTCCGGCACGGCCGCGCATGCAGTATCACAGTAGAGTGCATGTATGTCCGCGCACATACCTTGCTTGTGCCTTCCCGGCTCCATCGCCGGCTTGCAAGGATGCGCAAAAGAGAACCCTCCATAATTTGCCTCGACTCCGGCCGAAGCGGTCAGCGGTTCCCACAGCTGTTTCCCCTCCCAAGCCACCACCCCTTGCCCTCATGAACTTGTTGACCGTCCCCAAGGCACGATTGCACTGTATAGCACTTTCATGTCCGCTGGATTTCGAATACTCGTAGCCAATCCGACACACGTGTCCTCCATTGTTCCGCCTCCCTTCCCCCCTGGCTCCCCCTCTTTGCTCCTGCTTCCTTCTCCGTCCCTTTTTCTGTCCGCGTGCGCACATGCACATGCGCACCCACATCCAAGCAAGGGCCCCCGCGGCACTATCATGTGTTATGTTGCAGCACATGACCACGCTGTCTGCGGATTCTGCAAGCTGTAGTTTTCAGGATCTCAAGAGGCTACCAGCTAGATATAGCTAGATGGCAACTTCAGAAGAGGCCAATTCCCATTGGGCCTCCCTCAAAGTGTTGTGTCAGGCGGGCTTCAAGCGGGCGCTCCTCGGTCTGTTGGCTGCCTGTAGCGTGGACCCAACGCTGAAGGATGGGGCACAAGGCTGCGCTTCGTGAGAGTTCGAGCGACCGATATCAGGGAACTTTCAGGAGGATGCCAGGGCCACTTGCAGGGTTCGTGAGGGGCATCGGAGCTATGAGCCCTGAATCTGCGAATCCTTCGTCTCTTGGCACCCTATAGGCCCCAAGCACCGGACACCGGGCATGCCGACAGGCTGCCCCTTGAATCCGAAGACGCCCCCAAAAGCGCCGGAAGCCTCAAAGAAGGTCCGGTGCTCATGGTGGCCAAGAGCACCGACGACCTCTCGAAGGCGCCATCCCTCGCGGACTCGGAGCCTCGGAAGAACTCTTTTGCGGTCGGCTCTTGACGGTTATTGGGCGGCAGAATTGGGCAAAATATCTTACAGAGGTTTCAGCAAGCTTCTGTATTGTTGCTTGTGCATCATTCGAGTCGCTTGTTTCGAAGGATTTCGAAGCATCTCTGAGCCACGGCTTATCAGGTTCAGAATTATTCTGTGCACTGCCGTGGCGGCGGAATGTGGATCAGTCACAGCTTCCGATCGGTCACCGGAGAGTGTTTTTGTGGCCTAAGTCACGGCAGCCCTGACCGACCTGCACGTAGGCCATCGAATTGAGGTCCGAGTGTTTCAAGACTACCTTGGCATCGGTTGGGGGCCGTGTGTAATCGTTGGTAGTCCATCTCTGTTCTGGAGCTGTAGATAGGCTGTAGATAGCCACTGCATTTGGCCACCCAGGACGTACCTCTCAGCGCTGCACCGCTGCGCACCTGCCGATTTCGCTGCCCGGCCAACAGACTGATCTGTACCTATCCAATCCTATCCCCACCGGCAGCTGCGCATTCATACGCACAAACTGGCACCCACAGACAAGCATGCACTCACACTTACGTCATACCATCTTGCGGATTATATACATTGCTGGACTTCGAAGTATAGGCACTGAGCTTGAGCAAGGCGTCTTCTACGTAAACCTTGTGGTGTCCGTCCGAATTTCTGCAGAGCCACCCTTCCTTTTTGCAAAGCCTTCGTTTTCATGGATTCCCTTCGAGGTGATGGGTCGGATGGGAACCCTCCTATCTCGGACTCTATCTCGGCAACGCCAGACGCAGCTTGCCAGCCGACCTCTTCGACGCCAGTGGATGCTCGGTAGTGGGCAAGACGGGGCCATCAGGGTATGTGAGCTTTTTTCACTGGATTTCGAGCCATGACTTGTCGGACCATAAACTCGCATTTTGGCTGTGAAGTCACGACAGCTCGCGGAGCGTGGCTTGAGTTAAGTCTCGCCTTTGCCGTGGGGCAGACGAGCTCTTGCTCCTGCTCTTGCTCTTTCTGCTCTTGAGTCTGCTCGCTCTTGCTCCTGAACCCAATTCAAAGTGCAGTTTTTCCAAAAGTCGGGGATGATTTCAGGACGATTTCCCGAAGAGCCTTTTTATTCTTAGGTTGTTTGTCAATATAGGGGGAAATGTGTTTGTTGCCATTGACTTGTGGGTGGGTCTGTGAAATGGAGTGTTCCTGAATTCTACGCCACTGTCTCTATTCTGAGGACTTCATGCGAGCTGGCAATTCCTTGAAAGGGCAGGTGATTGTGGATGCTTGGCCGAGCTTGCGATCCTCATAGCCAATAGACCAGAGCTTTTTTGAGTCCGATGTGCGTATCACACAGGGTACAGAAAGAGCTGCTCCGTGCAAGAGCTTTCGGGCCTGGAAAGGACATCACCGCAGCTTGGATCGGTGGGTACATCCTTGCCCACAAAGGCACGACCTCGGCTTACGGGATAATTGGACAGGTGTGCAGGCTGAAGTTTTGTGTGTGTGTGTGTGCAGACTGGCATACCTGCGGCTATCAGTAGCTTGCAGACCGTCGGAAAAGGCCTTGGGAAAATGCTGTTGGCTCGAAGCCGCAACAGGTGATGGTGAGTTTGAAAAGCCACGCAAGCCGAGCGAAGATGCCGCCAAAGCGTCAGCGAGCGCCAGGTTGCTCGCAGAGCCTGGACCCAGGTATGGAGTGCCCACTGCAGGTGCAGGTGCAGGGGGAAGACAGCCTGGTTTTGGGCCTTTGTGGACCCAGCGAGCTTCGTGGCCTCGAGCGAAACCGCAAGCAGCTCGCACCTCAACGTCGGTCGACAGTCCCCAAGTCAACGAGGCTGGTTTCCGTGGAGGCAGTGCTGAGAGCAAGGCTTCGGTGCATGGTGAAGGAGGCTTGCAGCGAGATGCTTTGGCCATGCGTTGGTCGTCGGGACGTGGTGCAGCACATCATGTCTTTCATCGAAAGCGAGAGGCCGCTGATTGATACCGAAGTGGGAGGCAAGATGTTTCAGGACACAGGTTCGGCCAACTTGGACCTCTTCTTCCAGTCGGTTCCACAAGGAAGGCCCAAGGAGAACGAACAGTTGAAGGGGCTGCTAGACAAGGCTTGGGCTGAGAGTCCAGAGGTTTGTCTGAAGCAGATGTTCCTTCTCGGATCCCGGGATGGCAAGCAGGACAGGTATTCCTTCTACGATGCCATGATGTGGCTTTGGCACAAGGACCCCCACACCCTGCTGGCCAACTTGCACCTGGTGCCTGAGTGCAACTACTGGAAGGGCTTGCTGGAGATACTGGCGCGCATCTGCGAAGGCCCGGTGCGTAGCTTGCAGCGAGACTTGGCCCTGCACTCGCACTACAAGCGCTGCCAGAATGAGCCAGAGGACCACAAGCCACCCGCCAGCACGTAACTGTCTCGAAAAGTGGACTTGGCTCGTCTACAACATTCTACAACCATTCAGAAGTGAGCTTGGATCACGAAATGCCATTGTTGACGACCAAGTAGGCAAGGGCCTGCAAATCGAGTCTAACTAAGTTTGAGATCAAACATGCAGGTGCCGGAAGTCTCTTTGCATTGAATAAGCTGTAAGGTATCGGATGGAGGATGCCGGCATCGACGAGGAAGGCAACTTCCGGCCGGGCTCTCGCCTGCAGTTGGCGGAGGAAGCACTGAAACTTGGCCAAGTTCAGAGCTCTTTCTGTGGACTCGCCGTGAGGGCTTCGGCCGCAGTTTCTTTTTATTTCCCCCCAACAACAACACTACGGCTCCCAACTGTAGAAGTCGTTGCGCCCGCCGTCCGCGGGCAGCAGACACTGGGGGGGAGCATTTTGAGGGGTCGTTGCGTTTGCGTACACACACACACACACTCGTGTTTCACATTCATGTTATGCTATAACGTGCTAGCTGTTATATCTTTACTTATTAATTAACCCCTAGTTATCGTGAAATAGCAGGCGCTCTGGGTTTGTATGACAGTACAACGACTACTACTACTACCGTCAGCATCCAGAGTCGCATCGATTTCGTATAGATCCCTGCAGAGCCTGCGGGGAAGGTTCCGGGAGGGTGGCGTCAACTCTTCTTAAATCCATGCCAGTACTTGGTGTTTCCCAATGATGCGCTGAGCTAGGCGAACGTCATCGTGCTAAGGCACTTCCGAACCCGGCCCTTAAGAAGCTGCTTCTTGTGCCAAGTTGGGGTGCTTGGATGCCACTTTGGATTTGTTCCCATCGCTGAATGATTGGGACATCAAACGGAACCCTCAGCCCAAACCCAACCTTAAACCCCATTTGGTTACCTAAAGCTTCGTCTTTGGACCTCACCTTCCTACGTAGATTTCGGGTATCTCGAAGGTATCTCGAAGGTATCTCTAGGGTATCTCGAGAATACCCAAACTTCTCAGATTTTTCGGACCAGGTCTGCTCCCAACGAAGTAACGACAGCTTTCTGGTTTACATAGCTCTCTCGGGTCCGCTGTTCAAGGCGTAGTAAACATTTGAAATGCCGGACGGAATGATCTGTTTCATAGCTCTCTCG